AACAGGGTTAAGAAATAAGCTAATTTGAAAGCATTATCAAAAATCAAGTTAAGAGACTTCTGGCCAAGAAGGAGGCATAGGTAGACACACTGTGCCTCCTTGCACAATCAAGATAGGGACAACAACAATTTAGAAACAGAATAACAACCAGAACTGACAGAAAACTGAACTGTATGGAAGTCGGACGACCAAGGAGTTAAAATAGACACATTCATCCAGACTGGTAGAAGGGATGGAGTCCGGCAGCCAGGTGTGGGTCACGGCGTGGAGAGCACAGAGTGTTGGGACTGGGCGCGCAAGCAGCAGCTGGCAGATCCCGGCGGAGGGGTGGCAACCGGCAGACCCAGCGAGGCAGCAATTGTGAAGCAAGGCACTGCGTGCAACTCAGGATCCTAGAGCTGGAAAATAGAGCCTTGGGGCACTGACTGAAAACACCTGTGGGGGTTAAGGCACAGGGAGAGACTCCCAGCCTCACAGGAGAGGTCACTGGAAAGTCCCACGGGGCGCACAAGCCTACTCACACGAGAACTGGCACCAGAGGGGCCCAGTTTGCTTAGGGGAAGTGGCAGAAGGGACTGAGGTCCAATGGAGAGCAGAGCAAGCACCATTGTTCCATCTCGGACCCTGCCCCCACATACAATCACAACCCAGCGACGGGGGTGCCCCACCCTGGTGAACAGCTAAGGCTCTGCCCCTCATACATAACAGGCGTGACCAGACCAAAGGGGGGAAAAATGGTTCAAACAGAAGAACAAATGAAAGCCCCACAAGCAATTCTTTTAAGTGACCGAGAGAAGCCAACCTATCAGATGCACAGTTCAAAGCACTGTTGATCAGAAAACTCACAGAATTGGTTGATTTTGGTGGCAAATTAGATGAAAAAATGAAGGCTACAATAAGTGAAATGAAGAAAAATGCACAGGGAACCAATGGTGATAAGAAGGAAACTGGGATTCAAAACAGTAGAGTGGACCAGAAGGAAGAAAAAAACATACAATCACAAAAGAATGAAGAAATAAGAATTGAAAAAAATGAGGAGAGGCTTAGGAACCTCCAGGACATCTTTAAAAGTTCCAACAGCGGAATTATAGGGGTACCAGAAGGAGAAAAGGAAGAACAACAAATGGAAAACTTATTTGAACAAATAATAAAGGAGAACTTCCCCATTCTGGCAAAGGAAGTAAAGGAAGCTCAGAGAGTCCCAAAGAAGCTGGACCCAAGAAGGAACACACCAAGGCACACGATAATTACATTAGCCAAGGTAAAAATGAAGGAGAGAATCCTAGAAGCAGCAAGAGATAAGACAGTAAACTACAAAGGAGTTCCCATCAGGCTGTCATCTGATATCTCAAAAGAGACCTTGCAGGCAAGAAGGGGCTGGAAAGAAGTATTCCAAGTCATGAAAGGCAAGGACCTACATCCAAGATTGCTCTATCCAGCAAAGCTTTCATTTAGAATGGAAAGGCAGATAAAGTGCTTCTCAGATAAGGTCAAGTTAGAGGAGTTCATCATCACCAAGCCCTTATTATAGGAAATGTTAAAGGGACTTATCTAAGAAAAAGAAGATAAAAAACATGTACAGTAAAATGACAGCAAACTCACAATTATTAACAACCACACCTAAAACAAAAACAAACACAAACTAAGCAAACAACTAGAGCAGGAACAGAACCACAGAAATGGAGATCACATGGAGGGTTAGTAACAGGGGAGTGGGAGGAGGAGAGGGGGGAAAAGGTATGGAGATTAAGTAGTATAGATGGTAGGTAGAAAATAGACAGGGGGAGGGCAAGAATAGTATGGGAAATGTAGAAGCTAAAGAACTTATGACACATGGACATGAACTAAAGGGGGGGAATGTGGGTGAGAGAGGGTGTGCAGGGTGGAGGGGAATGAAGGGGGGGTAATGGGACAACAGTAATAGCATAATCAATACAATATATTTTTAAAAAAATCAAGTTACCACATGACCCAGCAATTGTAGTTCTAGGTGTACACCAAGGATGAAGTAAAAACATGTCTACCTGAAACCCTGCACACAAATGTTCATAGCAGCCAAAAAGTGGAAACAACCCAAATGTCCATCAACTGATGAATGGATAAACTGTGGTATATCCATACAATGGAATAGTAGCTATAAAAAGAATGAAGAACTAATTATGTGCTACAACACAGGTAAACCTTGAAAATTTTATGTTAAGTGAAGGAAGTCAGTCACAAAAGACCATTACCCAATATGATTCCATTTATATGAACTGTCCAGAACAAGCAAATTTATAGAGAAGAAAGTAGATTTGTGCTTGCCTAAAGGTAAAGAGGTAAGGGAGAAATGAGGAGTGACTGCTAATGGGTACAGGATTACTTTGGGGGGTAATAAATTGATTGTGTACTGATGACTGCATAAATGGGTGACTTGCATGGTATGTGAATTATATCTCAATGAAGCAACTACCAAAAAAACAGAACAAAACAAAACACCCAAAACTAAAACTGGAGAACTGTTTCTACTCATGTCCTTTCTTGGTGCTCACCCAAAATCTAAACCTTCTCTTTCATGCAGTATAATTGTGAACTTACAAAGTAAAAGTTAAGTGTAAAAAAATTACAAAGATTAACAACAGATATAAAATCAGAAACTAAAACTCGTCCATAAATTCATACACTTTCAAACTTCAGGTGCTTCCTTTTTAATCCTTCCCCCAACCCCCATCCTCACTTATATACATGTATTTTGGGACTGAATAAAACTGAAACCATACTGTATAGTTTTATATCATTTTGTAGTATGATGTTCTTCGAAAAATGTGTTCATTATGCCTGTATTAATTACATCATATGGCTATACAACAACATATTTATTCTTTTAATTTTAAGGTATTTAATTATTTCCAAGTATACTGTTATAATAGCTCTTTACTGGACTATCTGAATAACTCTATTTGATTAGAACAATTCTCTAGAAATAAAATTACTTTGTTAAAATATGTGAATATTTTTAAGGATATTAAAATACTACCTTTTGGAAATGCCATAGCACTTTATCTTCTCACTGACAATGCATAGGGGCCCAACTTGCATACAATGAACTAGTTCTTCAGTTTAAACTCTTTAACCAATATGTTTGTGAAAAGATTACCTTACTTATTTTAAGATTCACTGCTTACTTGTGATAAGCTTTTTTTTATGCTGCTATCCTCTATAGACTCACCAGCTTACATCCTTCTTTGCCTTTCTGGGATATAGTCATTTTCCTATGGGTGTACTCTGAGAACTTGATTATGTATTCTTCCTTCTATAGAATATACTGCAAAATTTTTGTCATTTTCTTTTAATTTTGATCATAATGGTTTTGACTTACCAACGATAACATATTTATGTAAATAGCTCAATCTTTTTCTTTCTAAATTCTTGTTCTAAAATAAACCAGTTGTTTCCTGAAATAACTGATGGTCACCAGATTTCTTTCTAATAGTTTTTGGTTTTTAATTTTTTTCTTTGCAACATTTATTGAGTATTTAGCACATGAAGATGTTTTGCTAATAACTTTGTATACACAAACTCATTTAATTATCATAATCACCCTATGAGAAAGATCTTTAATCCTTCCTTCTCATTTCATGAATAATGAAACTGAGGTTAGGGAGGTTAAATTATATGACCAAGAATAACACAGGTGCAGAGCAGAGTTTTAAAAGCTAATGCAATCTGAAGCCACATTTATTCCACTGTGCTCACATGCATATTAAGATATCTTAATAGATCTATGCTTTGGTATAGGGTTCTATCAGTATACCCCCACCTCTAAAATAATAAACAATTATTAAAGTACATAAATTTAGTAAGTTGAAGTTTAACAGTTATTGAAGCTGAATAAGTCTGTCTAAGACCTTGAATCAAACTAAAACCTTCTGTTTTATTATTTTTTTTCTTTGTTAAACATCATGGATGTCTCTAAGTGGAAGTACGGCATTCAGCTTTAGAGTGTAACATGGTTGGTTTTATTTTGCAGAATGAGACTAAAACACATTTTATTAACTAGTCCACAGGACCAAAGATCTACGAAATAACTCCACCAAGAATCTACTGTAAGGACAAACCTACCTTATCATTTTGATCAATGCTCTCTCTCATATATTTAGTTTGTTCTTTTTATCTACCCTGGTGCTTAAATAACTAATACCAGATTCTTGATAATATAACTCTTGTTTTCAATGAGTATTAAAAACTTCTTGTTTCTACTTTTATTTAAATTGCCTTGTTTTACTTATGTTGTCATAAACATTCTCAAATTATTTTTCAAAATAGGCAAATAATAAATAGTATTCATTACAATTAATGCTGCTCAAAGCTGTGAATTCAGCAAATTCCTATGGCTGAATTCAGCAAATTATTAGGGCATAACTTTAAGTGTTCTGTTCAGCAGAAAGTATAATTATGCAGATTTATATATCCCAAAGCTGGGAAGGGCAAATTAAATGTTATTCCTGTATACTTTACTATAAAGTAAAACTGGACAATAACATTATATTTTAACATTTCATTTAAATTAAAAAGTTACATATTTATAAGCTTTTCTGATAAATATCACATTAAAATTTAAACAATAAATTAAGGCTAATTAAGTTAAGAGGTTGAGAACTCAAAAATTGTGGTTAGAATACCAGCCTTGTCAAAAGACTATATACCCAACTAAATCTTGATACTTTTGCCCATGTTATTTTATTGATAGGCAGAGAAATAAAAAGTTCAAAGAATTAAACACTTCATAAGCTGCATTGCACATGTTAATTTTTTAAAAAGTACTTGTTTTACAAGTAAATCACTTTATGCCTTACGGACTTGAATTATATTTTATTTAGATGTTGATAATCCAGCTAAAAATTTATATTTAGGTCTCTCAAGCAAATAGTAATTGTTTTCCCAAACCCCATTTAAACCTCCAGAGTTAAACTAAAATTCTTGGCTTCCTTCACAATGAACCACACAAAAATCATTCTTACCTTTACACCTTGAATGAGACCATTCATAAGGAATGTGTGTTGAGGAAATGTTTCATGTAGAACCTACAAAAGGCAAACAAATATCAAGACAAATTCAAAAGCAAATTAAAGGGACAGATTTCTACTTCTGTTAATGGTAAGTAAGATGGAACCACGCAATGAACAATTTTTAAGTTTCAATAAAATATGAAAAGTATCCTAAATATATGGAAAGGTAACAAGATAGTGAGGCAGAAATCTACATAAGACAAGAATCTAAAAAGGTACTCTAGCCCTGACTGGTGTGGCTCAGTGGATTGAGTGCTGGCCTGAGAACCAAGAAAACACAGGTTTGATTCCCAATCAGGGCACATACCTGTGTTGCCAGCCAGGTCCCCAGCTGGGGGCACATGAGACGCAACCACACGGTGATGTTTTTCTCCTTCTCTTTCTCCCTTCCTTCCCCTCTCAATAAAAAAATAAATAAATACAATCTTTTTTAAAAAGGTACTCCATTCAGTTACTTTTGCTCCAAAAGCATTTGCAACAACAACAACAAAAAATCGTTAAATTTACTACCCCTTCAACCACCAACAATTTTAAGCAGGTACCACAAAGGTTTTTATTAACCCAGGTATGGGCCTGCAGCTCAGTTTTATGTCACCTAAGTAGTTCAGGAAACATTAAGCCTTAAATTTGGATTATAATGATTCCAGACTGGTAGCACCTCCACACGTCTAACAGAAAAAATCTAAAATCACTGCTGGGAAAGCTATCATCTAGGCTGCAAATCAAACATACATACACATTTTTTCAAATATACATAATAAGCAGTACATAATCAAAGGTAATTAGATACAAAAGGAAGTAAGACACCATACACAAAAAATAGTCACAAACAAGCAAAAATACAAACAGAAACAGACTATCAAAGACTTAACATTTTGGAATTATTCAACACAGACTTTAAAATAACTGTGCTTTCCATGTTCCAAGATATAGAAAATAAGCTTAGTACTCTTGAACTAGACACTACAGATAGCCGATTTTAAAAAGAAAAAGAAATTCCAGGATGGAATCTTTTTTCTAGATGAATTTTTTCTGTGTTAAAAATAAATCAATAAAATTTTGGTGAACAAGAAAGTTTCTCAAACAAATTTTAAGAAAAACAAACGACCAAAAGAAAAAAATTAATAAACAGAATTACATAAAAATTATAAATTTATCAAAAGACACTATTAAAAAGAATAAAATGCAAGCCAAGGAGGGAGAAAAGACATTAGCAATAGATGTTTGTGTGTAAAAGCACAAAATACACATTCATAAATGCCAAAAAAGAACTTGAATCCAGAATATATGAAGAATTCCTACAAATGAGAAAAGAACAGACCCATTTATTTAAAATGGATGAAACACTTGAACTGACACTTCACAAAGATAACCATATGGCCAATAAATATATGTAAAAGGGGTTAACTTCACTGATCATGAGGAAGATGCAAATTAAGACCATACTGTACTCATCAGAATGGCTAAAATGAAATACTAATTGCTTGTGAAGATGTGAAGCCTGATTATTTGGAGGATAAATTGGTTCAAGCACTCTGGAAAACTTTTTGGCAGTGTATACTGAAGTTGAATGAAACCCTGCAATTTTACTCCTAGGTATTTTCCCCAACCACTTAAAGATGTAAAAACTATTCTTAGTGCACAGACTACATAAAAACAGGCAGTAGGCTAGATCAGGCCTGTGGACTATAATTTACACCACCGTGACATAAAGAAAACAATACTTATTAACAACTGACTTTCCATCATACACAATGGATGCCAGAAAGCAATATAATAATGGATTAAAAGTGCTGGAAAATCTATTAAAAAATAAGACTGCACTCCAAACATTTTCTATATCAAATTTTAAGACAAGCAGACCCACCAATGGCTATTTTATGTTTCCACATCAACTTTTCTAATAATTGTATTAAATTGGAAATCAGCATAGTCTTTTTTTAAGCATTCATATGTTCATTGATATACAGACTACAACATCCTCAGGCAGGACAGTGAGAAGCTAGGAAAATTCCTGGGCAAGTGGAATGGGAAAATTGAGACAATAATTTAACACAGCCAAATAATTTAAACTATTTAAAGACAGCTGGTGAATTGTAAGACCTTATCTCCCCTAATCAAGGACACTTGAGAACAAATTCTCTGGTTAGGGAGAACCTCTCCTCCCTAACCAGAGAATAAATAGCTTAAATCACCCTGGTTGGGGAAATAGAGAACAGAGACCCAATCAATGCCATTTGTGCCAGCCGAAACCAAGGACTGATGTCAGAGGAACAACAAAAACCCAATTAGAACCAGAGAGACCCAAGTTAAAAGTAAAGAAAGCAGTGCAGCTAACCAGAGAATAATCCCAAACTCCTCTATATGGTCACTTTGATGCGTCAGCATATTAAAAAAACACTACAACAATTTAAAAAAGAATTAAAATTAAAAAAGACACACACCTAAACTGATGAATATTCTGCTTAAACCCTCCCCTAAGATTCTTGCCCACAGAAGAGAAACAAAAAACCCTCAAGACAAAGGATGCCAGTGCAGGCTCTTTCTGGAGCATGCCCATTCCTTTCCTCAGCCATGAACTTTTTACTTTGTCCTAAACTCTAAGGGTTCCTGTAAAACTTGTAACCAGGGGAACAGCGGGCAATGACAGCTCATCTTGGGCTCACTTATGTCACTGTGACTTTTACTTCCCAGTGAGCTACCAGCAGTCCTGCTGACACAGGAGACAGCATAGGAAGAACTCTGAGACTGCATTGCTGTTACTGGCCAGCGTCTAGTATGCTGGTTGCCAGGAAATGCCTTTTACTGCTTAGGTAGAATAAATAGTAGACCGAGGCAAGGAGGAGGAAGGAGACATGTCCTACATGCTAACTCAGTGGTCCTGAGCCTGGTCTGATAATATTGCCAGGTGTTCCAACATCACAAGAAACACTATGTCAGCAAGAAAGAAGGGAAGTCCTTGAAATTCTATGTAGTATTTCCACTATCTGGGAAAGAAAGCCTTGAAACTGTGCTTTCATTCGGGTGAAATTTATTGTTCTGGTACATTGGTCAAAACACCATTTAAAAAAAACTATCAAAACCATAAGATGAGCCTGAAACATCTAGATTCCAGAAAGCAAGACAGTCTCCATGTGACTATAGTTAGAACTTTACTTCCTTTTCATGTAAAGCGCAAATCACCCAGTGAATTGCCTTTGTCGTAAGCCCAAAATGCCTGGTAAACAGTCCTATCCCACCCCACCCACCTCAATTCCCAAGAGGAAAGAAACACTAATACAGTGAAAAAAAGCAGAGCCAATAATAGGCTGACAATAGAATATATATTTGTTGTAAATAAGCACATATTTTGACCATAAGGAAAAGGGATACAATAGGAAAATGAGTATCTCAGTAAAGTGTTTAATTAGCAATCTTTGAATTATTAGATCACCACATGAAGAGGACAGTATAGTAGGAACTCCTGAGTCCCAGAATCTCTAGCAGGATTTCAGGAAGGTCACTTGCAAAAGAAAATCTGCAAACTACAAGAATAAAAGTATATCTTTATTGAAATAAGTGCTCTATTTAAACATATCTGAAGACATTTAAGTTAGTTTAGTCAGATTACAGGTATTTTATTTCCATTAAAATAAGATCAGGCTCTCAAGAGGATGTGCTTTTGACCTGAGGGTAAAATGTCAGGCATTTCATTTTCTTGTACAAACTACTACTACTAAAAGGTAAGGCTACTATGTGAGATCAATTTTACTGTGTGAGATCAATCAAATCTGCTTTACCAGCATGGATACCTTTCTCACAATGCTTAATTAACAAACTAAAGTTGTAATCCAGGACATGACTGGGCAAAACAGGAAACAAATCTCTGAAAAAATTACTAAGAAGAGGTAAATTGTTCCACACTACTTCAGAGGATCCTAATGAATGCTAAATCTAGATAGTCAGATTGAACAAAATATGAATATGCACGTGCTCTTCTATATCTTCAAATCCTGATCTCAGAACTGTTTTTCTCACCTTGATGGAAACAGGACAGAGTTCTGTCCACTAGCTATTGTAAGTTTTTAAAAAAAGAACACACATGAGAACCAACACCATCCTAACAGTTAAACTGTGGTAGGTGACAGATTCAGGATGCCAAGAACTAGAAATCCACAACATGAAGGATGGGTAGGATAAATGAATCCAGCTGTAATGAGACAAACCCTAATTTTGTCCTTTCCTTATCAAAACCACCTATTATTATTCATTTCTTTTTCCAACCAAAAAAAGCAGAAAGTAAAATGGATATGCTAGAGGAAAATTTTTTTTCCAAAAGAGAGTGTGAACCATTCCTCTGCATTAAAACAAACAAACAAACAAACAAACGAGTTATTAGCAAACTGTGGTATAAAGGCTGAGGAAGATAGAAAAGTAAAGGATGTCTGGCTTAATTTAGTAATATTAAGAGCTTAGAAAATAAGAATAAGCACATCTATTAACACAGCAACACTTCTGTGACACTACAGAGTGTCAAAGTGATGGTAGCAACTCTGTGCTCCTCACAAATAAACATTCATTTTAACCAAATCCTTGCAAACAGCACCAGTGCTTACAAACTGCAAAGAGACAGGAGAGCAGCATTTTAGCTGGCTACCTGGATCTAACAGGAGCACAAAAGAAAAAAATCTGCTGTGGACAAGAAGAAGGAAGGTGCATCAGTCCCTGGGGCATATTAAAATTAACTAGTTGAATTAAAATTAAAAGGGATCTGACAATCTGGTCTAGAGTCAAAAAGGAGGTTGCAGAATTTCTGACAGGGCATCAAAAATATTAAAGCATTCTTCAATTCTATTTGAATTTTTAACAACTAAAGAATGAATACAGGATTACTTCTGCATCGAGAAACCTGCTGAATGACCACAACAGCTTATAAGCAACTAGTTGCATCAGAAAAATACTATTTTGAAACTCTTAACTTTGTAACCGAGAAAAGCTGGAGAAAAAAGAAACAGAAAACTGGGGCAAAAAGTTAAGTAATACAGCTTCTTAAAATAAGTGGACTGAAGTGTCTATATTCATACTAACAATGTGTGTTGAAGAAATAATCACTCGGGTACATATATACATGTGTACCTGCAACACATATATTTGTTCAAAGAGAATACATATTGATTACTGTGTTTGCCATATTGAGGCAAACTGATGAGCACAGCAGGCAAAATCTCATGAAACTTAAACTGGGGACTATTTATGTCCACTAACTAATAACCAATTACCTTCTGTGGTAAAGCATTATGAAGAAAAAAGTAGCACAATGAGAAAGGATAAAACAGGATAAACAATGGCAATTTTTTCAACTGACTGCTCCACCCAAGTTGTAATTTTAATTAATCATATTATAGTTTAAATGTGCTACAGAAGTTAAAACTTTTAAAAATGTATATAGCAAAATCTTATGTAAGGCTAATAGCCACACTCTTAATTTCTCTATTTCCAAATCTAATTGGATATGAAGTTTATTTGTATCCAAAGGGATTATCTTGGGTAAGCTGAAATAGTGATTGGGAAGAAAAAATTGCAATGATTTTTCAAGAGCAATTAAAGCAAATGAAATTTAAGCTAATTTCAAAGTATCTTTATTAAAAGTAAGTGTTAAATAGTTACTAGGCATCTAAAATCTATACCCCATTCTTTTCTTAGCATCTCCCTTTCCTGAGCCACATATCAAACATCTAAATTCTTTCTAAGGAATTCAACACAGTATTTCCAAAGACATGGCTGGAGCCCTGACCAAGTGGCTGAGTAGGTTGGAACATTGTCCCGTACACCAAAAGGGTGCAGGTTCAATCAATCCCCAGCTGAGACATGTATGAGAGGCAACCAATCAATGCTTTTCTCTCACATTGATGTTTCTCATTCTTTCTCTCTGTCTCTCTAAAATCAATAAACACATATCTGGAGAGGATTAAAATAAATATGTATCTGTAGGTAAGCTACCAAAAACAGAAATTTGGACATTCTTACTACCATCACTTTCATTGTTACAGATACTTACCAACCTCCCATTTACTATGTTCTTAAGTCAAAGGCCATCACAACCATATAAAGTAATTTATAAACTTCAACGTAGGTTTGTGATAATTTCCTCTAAGCCATTTTAACTATCTTTTAAAATATATATAGTTTATTCATTATGAACCAAGATTCTAGTTCAGTGGGAGTGTCTTGCTACAGGAATATTTACAAGCAGCCCAGGTGTTTTGTTGCAGGTGGTTCCATCTACACAGTGGAAACAACCCAATGGACTAAACAGTCCTAAACTGTTGTCAAGAACTACTCTCTAACACATATTTAGATATATGGCCCTGTGAACATATGCTTAAGCACTTCTCTTTTGCTCTTACAAACAGGGACCCAGTTCAGCAATACTTACAGTTAACATTGGAGTTGTCAATAGGCCCCATGCAAAGAATTCAAGGAAGATTACAATAGCAGCATGGTACACACTTGGTCGGCCAAAGCCTTGGGGCTAAAAAATGAAGAAAATTAGTATGAAAAAGGGTAAAGTGATTTTTAAAATTCATTATCCTAAAATGGTGTCTAACACACACACACACACACACACACACACACACACACACACACACACAGTATAAATTTTGAACCTATCTTTAAGATATAACTTCATTCTGCAGTATCCCTGGTTCTTTCATCTTCCCTAATTATAGAAGATACCAAGATTATAGACTTTCTGCTCATCCTATCAATACAAATCACTGGAGTTTTGGTAAAAAATCAACTGAGTCTTCAAGAGACTGAGGTTCTAGGACCTAACTATTCTCTTACTAATTATGTGTTCCTCAGCAACTTGTGGCCACTCTAAGCCTGAATTTCCTTAGCTATCTAAGGATGGGTAGGCATTAGAGTCATATGCTCAAAAGCTTCAGGGAAGCAGCGATGGCTTAAATTAAGTGGTTGGAGGAAAAACAATAAAGACTAGGTCAAATCTGAAAACATACTCCATAACTAAAAGTGTTAAAATCCAGCTTTCTGTTTCTGTTTTAAGGCTGTGCCTATTCTGCTAATCTTTTGCAGTTGTGACTTCTGGAGGTGGAATCTAAAATTCCTGTCAATTTAATGTTCTTTGACTCTGACAAGAGCAGGGACTTTGCTAGCACTTGGTAGAACTGGAAGTGAACTTAGAAAAGACTTTTAAAACACACACTATTCCTATATTTATATTTTTAAGTCGTCAAAAGGTAAAATTACATCTGTATGATATAACTAGAATGTAATTAGGACAAAAAGATCAGATAAATCCAGACTGTGGGACATTCAACAAGACAACTGGCCTGTTCTCCTTAAAAATCTCAATGTTATAAAAGACAAAAGTAACTGTGAGGAAGATGAGAGTCATAATAAAACTAATGTCTTTTCTCTTGGCTTTTAAAAAGAGCAAAACCCAGAATGTAGGAAAAAATTGAAACAAGTGACCCAGTTTCTTCAACAAAGAAATGGTACAGAATAGGTAAATTTTAAAAAGGAGAAAAAACTATGTTAGTATATAGATTTAAAAAAAAATTAAGAATACCCTGGCTGGTGTGGCTCAGTGGATTGAGTGCTGGCCTGCGAACCAAAGGGTTGTCGGTTCAATTCCCAGTCAGGGCAAATGCCTGGGTTGTGGGCTAGGTCCCCAGTACAGGGCAAGCGAGAAGCAACCACACACTGTTGTTTCTCTTCTTCTCTTTCTCCCTCCCTTCCCCTCTCTCTAAAAAAATAAATGAATAAAATCTTTAACAAAATTAATGCACCCTATACTGCAAAACAACTGCTTCCAACCAGTCAACAAATAGGGTGAATGTCAACAAACAGCCTATTCCTCTCGAATCATTTATTTATCAAGCATCATGCATACAAGAATGTCAAAAACCTCTGAAAAACAGCTACATGTAGAAAGAATAGGAAGACTACCCTATTTTTCATTTGTAGCTTCTGTAGTTTGGTGCTCTTTCCAAGGAAATTAAGGTTTATTTATGTAGACTACCAGGATAGAGACCCATGTGACTGTAAATCTGATTTAATATTTTAAGAGAATACATACATTATTCTGTATACATATATTTTCATGCTATTATTTTTAACACCTTGCAAAAAGCCAGGCAACCCACGCTTGTTCACTTTATAGTTTAAAAAAATTTTTTAAATGTCTTCTAAAATGCAAATATTACATTATTACTCTCCTCTCCACATTAATTACTTTAATTGAACTATCATGCATCCTTGGCCAGTAACAGTGATAGGTGAGAAAAAAGCAGCAGGCAGGCCTGGGTACAGTGGTAACTTTGTGTGGGCAACTGGATATCCAGTACAAAAATAAATGTCCCTTACTTTCAATTCTTTCTAAGTTCCTGGTGGCCAGCAGCTGAGAAAAAGAGTGTCACAGGTTTCTCTTTTAAATTATCTGAGCTAATCAGAAAGGCTTCATCAACGCTTAGCCAGTTATTTCCAGTTGAGGCTGATCTAGTACAGCCTCTTGCAATCAGTTCAATGTCTCCTGTCTTTATTTTGTCCTTTTATAAATCAGTATGGAACATCTTGAGATATTTAAAAGCAAATGTGTCATGATGGCTTTACACACATTGTCATCTCTCCCATGGATAACTTCAATGGCCTCTTCATCTTGCCTTAACTCCTCTTCCATGTCCTCTTTCAAATCTCTCTTGACATTACACTCAGAGTGATAATTCTAAAATGCAAATTTCATCCTATCACTACTGCACAAGACTGCAAAAATGAGCCACAAGTTCCTCTTGTTCCTGTACACACAACATTTTTGCAATATGACTGTGTGCTGCCAATTCCATCAATAGGTACAGTCTATTTCTCCAATTTCCTGGACTGAGGCTGGCTTAACAAGCAGTGTCAGGTGAAGTGACAACATGGACTTGAACCTGGGCCTTCAGAGGCCTTCAAGACCAAGTGGAGCCCTGGCTGGTGTGGCTCAGTGGTTGAGTGCCAACCTGCAAATCAAAGGGTCGCTGTTTCCATTTCTGGTCGACAGTGATGTTTCTCTCCCTCTTTCTCCCTGCCTCCTCCCCCTCTCTAAAAATAAATAAAATCTTTAAAAAAACATAAAAGTGACAAAAGTTCTAAAAAAAAAAGACCACGTAGAGAAATCCCTTTTAGGAACAGGAAGATGAGAGAATTTGAATCCCTCCTAATTGATGCCCCTTAGACCAACCAGCCATCACCAACTCCCTGACATAGGAGAAAATCATCCAATTCCAATCAAGCCTGCAGATGACTACAGAAGTGTAACTGCAATCAAACCTAGTGAAGAGCCTCCAACTGAGCATAGCCCAAACTGCTAACCCCCAAAATTGTCATGAATGGTTGCTGCTTTAAGCCACTTATTTTTTAAAATTTTATTTGAATTGTCGTTGCAGTACAATTTTCAGTCTTTTACTCCCATCCCAACCCACCCACCCACCCCTCCCCTCCTCCCTCCCATTTCCACCCGCCCCTAGTTTTTATCCATGTGTCCTTTATACTTGTTCCTGTAAACCCTTGCCCTTATCCCCTGAAATTCCCTTGAAATTCCCTCTCCTCTCCCCTCTGAACTCTGTCAGTCTGTTCTCTATTTCAGTGTCTTAAGCCACTTATTTTCGAAGTAGTTTCTTATGCCCTCATAAGTTTAATTCTTAAGACTGTTTTGAAGTTCCTTCTGTAGTTCTCTAATCTAATGTACAGAGAATAAGAAGCATAATTAGACAGGGGGAGCTTTAGAATAGTATAGGAAACAGAGAAGCCGAAGAACTTAAACGTACAACCCATGGACATCAACTAAGGGTGGGGGAATACTGGGGTGGGGTACAGGGTGGAGGGGGAATAAAGGGGAGAAAAAAATTGGGAAAACTGTAATTGGATAATCAATAAAATATACTTTTAAAAAAAGAAGTTAGCTTTTAGGTGAGTAAATGGCAAGGTCCCTAGCATTCTGTTCAAAAGACTGTATACTACCCATCATAAGAAACTATAAGATTTTCACTGATTTTTTTTTTAATTTGAGGAGTTAATATTGTATTGTTTGAGAAGAAAAGAAACTTCCAGATTCAGCTCTGTTAACTAAAACTGTGATTCTCTCCTAAACAGAGAGGTGACTAAAAAAAATTTCACATCACTCTGGCTACATAGAAATTTGTAATCTGTCATTAAAACAAGTCACTATGCAAAACTGCTACCTTCTGGGATTTCATTCAAAGTAGGACACAGCCACCAAGCAATGAATCACTGCACAAATATTCCTAAAAGCTTATGTTAGACCAGAACCCCCCCCAAAAATATTATGAAAGACAATATTAAGGAAACTACACACTAAAATGTAGAACTTCTCTTCCATCTAATGTTTTATAAAGCAGTGAAAACAACAGAGAGCATTATGTTTTTATGAAATACATATGGTTAAGAAATTATAACTGCTACATAAAAATGAAAGCTGTAAAACCTTAAAGGGAATAAATGTTCTATTCTCCATGGATAATAACAATGTTAAAAATTTGTTATATATTTTTATGAAGAGACATTCACAAGTAAAAACATACTTCTACATTAACAGTAACAGAACATGCATGTTATCTTTTCTATTTTAAGCTCTCTCTTTGCATATCATTGTATGCAAGTCCTCATTCTCTGTAATAGCTACATATGATTACATTGTATAAATGTATCATAACATTAAGCATTCCACTACTGACGAATGTTTATGGAATTTTCATTTTTTAAATGTTGTTGCAATTAGTAATTCTTAAACTTTTTGTTTCAACATTTTTAAACCTACACAAAAGGTACAAAACTAGTGCAGAGTTCCTGTATATAATTTACCCAGCTTCCCAAAATGTTATCATCTTGTATAACTATGGTACAATTTCCCAAATGTGGAAATTAACACTGCTATACCACTTTAGCTAATTTACATGTTTCATTTGAATTCCCTCATTTTCCCACTATTTTATTTTTACTTTTTTCTGGTTTAGAATCTAACCCAGGATTTCACATTGCATTTAGTTCTCGTTTCCGTGGGTTCTTCTGATTTGAAAAGATAGTTCCTAAAACTTTTACTTTTTGCCTTCATGATCTTGATACCTACTCTCACCAGTTATTTTGTAGAATATCCTTCAATTTGAATTTGTCTAATGTGCTATAATAATTAGATTAATGATGTGCATGTTTTATGTTTTTCTGAGATATAATTCACATCCCATAAAATTTACCACTTTTAAGTGTATAATTCATCAATTTTTGGTATATTTACTAAGTTATAAAACTATTACCACTATCTAATTCTAGAATATTCTCACTATCCCCCCAGGAAAAATCCCATACTCACTAGCAGTCACCCCCATTCTTCTTTCAGGCCAACCCCTGACAATCACTAATCTACATTTTGTTTCTCTGGATTTGCCTACTCTGGAATCACATACAAAAGGAATTCATAAATGGAATCTTACAATGTATGGCCTATTGTGTTTT